ATTTGCAGACATTTTCTCTCAGACTGTATCTTGTCTTTTTATTGTCTTAATAGTGTCTTTCATAGAATAAAGTTTTGAATTTAGGTGAAATTCAGTTTATCAGTTTTTTGTTTTTTTTTTTGAGTCAGAGTCTCACTCTGTCGCCCAGACTGGAGCGTAGTGGCACACTCATGGCTACTGCAGTCTTGACTTGCTGGGCTCAGGTGATCCTTCCAACCTCAGTCTTCCAAGTAGGTGGAACTGCAGGCTTGTGCCATCACACCTGGCTATTTTTAAAATTTATTTATTGTAGAGACGAATCTTGCCAAGTGCCCAGGCTTGTCTTGAATCCCTGGACTCAGGCAATCCTCTCGCCTCTACCTCCCAAAGTGCTAGGATTACAGGCATGGGCCACTGTGCCTGGTAATTTATCAATTTTTTAAATGAATTGTGCTTTTGGTGTCATGTTCAATAACTTTTTTTCACACTTATTTGAAAGTTGACATATAAAATTTATGTGTTTATTGTGAAGAAGTCTTTACATAACTAAGTCAAAAAAATGTTCTTGCTGGATGTGATGGCTCACGCTAGTAGTCTTAACTACTGAGGAAGCTGAGGCAGAAGAATCCCTTGGGTCCAGGAGTTTGAGGCTGCAGTGAGCTGTGATTATGCCATTGCACTCCAGCCTGAGTGACAGAGCAAGACCCTGTTTCTAAAAATAAAAATATTAGCCGGGCTCGGTGGCTCAGCCTGTAATCCCGCGCCTTTGGGAGGCTGAGGTGAGTGAATTGCCTGAGCCCGCGGGTTCGAGATCCACCTGGGCAGCAAGACCTCATCTCTACAATAAATCAAAACATCAGCCGGGCGTGGTAGCGCACGCCTGTAATTCCCGCTACTTGGAAGGCTGAGGTGGAAGGATCGCCGGAGCCCAGCAGGTCGAGGCTGCGGTGACCAGGAGCGGCCACTGCACTCCAGTCTGGGCGACAGAGTGAGGCTCCAACTCAAAAAAATAATAAATAAATAAATAAATAAATAAATAAATAAATAAATAAAAATATTTTCTCATAAGTTTATTTCTAAAAGTTGTATGTTTTACATTTAGATCTATAATAGTTTGTGAGTTAAGCTTTATATAATGTGAAATTTAGGTGGAGGTTCAAGTTGGAGTCTCACTCTGTCACTCATGGTGGAGTGTAGTGGCACAATCATGGCCACCACAGCCTCAACCTGCTGGACTCAGGTGATCTTTCAGCCTCAGCCTTTCAAGTAGCTGGACTTACTATTGGTACAAGCCACCACACCTACCTAATTTTATAATTTTAATTTTTATTGTAGAGACAAGGTCTCACCATGTTGCTTAGGCTGTGAGGTTCAGTTTTTTTACGAATGTTTATACAATTGTTCCATACCATATGTTGGAAGGACTGTCTTTTCTATATTTCATTGCTTTTACACCATTGTTAAATATCAGTTGGCGCAGAATAGGCAAATCTATAAAGACAGAAAGATTTTGGGCAACCCCCTTGGGTTCTCTCCCACTATGGGAACATTTCCATCTTCTCAATAAATCCTACTTTACAAAAAATAAAAAGTAAGATTTTATAATTGCCAGGGAGTGGGAGAAGGAGGGAATAGGGAGTGACTGCTAATGGCTATGGAGTTTCTTTTTGGGATGGTGAAAATGTTCTGGGATTAGATAGTGGTGATGGTTATACAACCTTGTAAACATACTATAAACAACTGAATTGTAATTTTTTAAATGGTGAATTTTGCAATATGTGCATTTTATGCAAATTTTAAAAGGACCTTAAAAATTAATTGACCATGTTTGGGTCTGTTTCTGAACTCTGTTCTATTTCATGTGTCTATACTTATATTTCTTTGCTAATAGCTCACTGTTTTGATACTGTAGGTTTATATAGTTAAGTCTTAAAAATCATGTAGTGTTTCCTCCAACTTTATTGTTTTTCATAAATATTTTGGGTATTTTTTTGACTAGTCACATACATTTTATCTATATAAAACATTCTGCTTGGGTTTCTATTGGAATTGTGTTAAAAATATCAATCACTTTGTGGGAGTTTTTTTTTTTTTTTTTTAGACACCCTTTATCAGGTTGAGAGAGTTTTTTCTATTCCTAGTTTGCTGAGAGTTTATATCATGAATGAGTATTGAATTTTGTCATATGCTTCTCCTGCATCAAATGATAGATCATGTGGTTTTCTTTTTTGTACTGTTAATCTGATGCACTACATGAATTGACTTTTGAATATTGAATCAGCCTTGACATCCCTAGGATAAATCATACTGTGTGGTAGTGTATTCATCTTTTTTTTTTTGTTTGTTTGTTTGTTTTGAGTTGAAGTCTCACTGTGTTGCCCAGTCTGGAGTGTAGTGGCATGGTCATGGCCACCACAGCCTCGACCTACTGGGCTCAGTTGATCCTTCTGCTTCAATCTTCCAAGTACCTGGAACTACAGACACGTGCCACAACACCTGGCTAATTTTTTTTTTTTTTAATTGAAAAGACGAGGTCTTGCCAAGTTGCCCAGGTTGGTCTCACACCCGTGTGCTCAAGCAGTCCTCTCACCTCGGCTTTCCAAAGTGTTGGGATTATAGCCATGAGCCACTGCGCCGCCAGGCCTTGTTCTTCTTATGTATTACTAGATTCAGTTTGCTAATATTTGTTGAAGAATTTTCACGTCTATTTTTATGAGGGCTATGGGGCTGTTATTTTATTTTCCAGTATTGTCTTTGACTAGTTGTATTATCAGGTTAATGCTCAATTCATAAACTGGGAAGTGTTTCCTTCTTTTTTATTTCTGAAGAGATTGTGTAAATTTGTTTCATTTTTTTCTTTAAATGTTAGTAGAATTTACCATTGAAAAAAATCTAGACCCAGAGTTTTTTTGTGGAAAAGTCTTAAATCATGGCTTCAGTGTCTTTATTAGAACTATTAAGGATATTATTTTAATCTTGGATGAATTGTGGTAGTTTGTGGTTTTTGAGGATTTGGTCCATTGTTGTCTACTTTCTGTATATAGTGCTGTTCATAATATTATCTTATCATACATTTAATGTCTTTGGAGACTATAGTGATAACCCTGTTTCAGGCCTAATGTTGAAAATTTGTGTATTCTTTTTTCTTTTCCCAATTTTTCTAAATGCTTATTAGTTTTATTGATCTTTACAAAGAGCCAGCTTTTGGTTTCATTTATTTTTCTCTATTGTTTTTCTGGTTTTAATTTAATCATCATTATTGCTCTTTATTGTTTCCATCTGCTTGATTTGGTTTTAGTGTTTTTTCTATCTTTTTAAAAGTAGAAGCTTGGGTATTTAATTTGAAATGTTATCATTTTTAATATAAGCTTTTAATGTTATAGTTTCTTCTCTAACCACTGCTTTAAATGTATTCCACAAATTTTTATATTTTGTATTTTAGTTTTTGTTCAATTTAAAATATTTTCTAGTTTGCTCGGAGACTTTCTCTTTCAGCATGGATTATTTAAAACAGGTATTAGCCGGGCTCGGTGGCTCAGCCTGTAATCCCGCGCTTTGGGAGTTCGAGGTGAGTGAATTGCCTGAGCCCGCGGGTTCAAGACCCACCTGGGCAACTTGATGAGACCTCATCTCCATGATAAATCAAAAATTAGCCGGGTGTGGTAGTGCGCGCCTGTAGTTCTAGCTACTTGGAAGGCTGAGGTGGACGGATCGCCAGAGCCCAGCAGGTTGAGGCTGCGGTGGCTGGGAGCGGCCACTGCACTCCAGTCTTGGCGACGGAGTGAGACTCCAACTCAAAAAAGAAAATAAATAAATAAAATAAAAGAGACATTGACAAGCTTTCTTTTTTTTTTTTTTGAACTGTAGTCTCACTCTGTCTCTGAGGCTGGTGTGCCGTGGCCCACTCACGGCCACTCCATCGTTGACTGCCTGGGCTCCAGCGATCCTTCCGCTTCAGCCTTCCAAGTAGCCGGAACTGTAGGTACATGCTACCACACCTGGCTAATTTTTTATTTTATTGTAGAGATGAGGTCTCACCAAGTTGCCCAGGCTGTTCTCAGACTCGCGGGTTGAGGCAGTCCACTCGCCTCGGCCTCCCAAAGTGCTGGGATTAAAGGCTGAGCCACTGAGTCTGGCCGACATACTTTCTTAAAGTACCACCTAGTAAATATGTTAGGCCTGAGTGCCATACATTCTCTTTTGCAGTTACTTAACTCTTTCCTAGTAAAAGCAACCATAGACATATAAATGAATCAGCATGCTTTTGTTCTAATAAAATGTCTTTTATAAAAGCAGGCACCTGGCTCTGTTGTTTTGTTTAATTTCCAAGTATTTATAGAGTTTCTTATTATCTTTCTATTACTGATTTCTACCATAATACCATTATTATCAGAGAAGATACTATGTATGACTTTAGCTCTTTTATTTTTATTTTTGAGACAGAGTCTCACTGTGTTGCCCAGGCTGGAGTGCAGTGACATGATCATAGCTCACTGTAACCTCGAACTCCTAGGTTCAATGGATCTTTCCACCTCAGCCTCCCAAGTAGCACTATAGGCACACCACACCACGCTTGGCTCATTTTTTTGGTAACCGTTGGGTAAATTGTAATTTTTTTATTGGAAAACAAATATACAACTTGGAATGGATTTGAGGCAAATTGTGCCATAAGCAGATTTTCTTTAAGTGGCTAAACAAAGTTTAAAAAGCAAGTAACAATAAAAGAAAATGTTTCCGGTACAGGACCAGCAGTACAAAAAAGTGGTTTCTGGTGCAGGACCAGCAGTACAAAAGAGTACCTCTAATACACCCAATAGTGCAACTTTTAAGTACATATTGTTGACTGTCCATAGTCCACGCAGAGTTGCAACTCCACACTTCAACAACAACATGCTGACAGTTCCTAAAGAAAACTACTTTAAAAAAAGGCATAACCCAAATGTTCCCTCATTTGACCAACTCCATCTAAGTTTAGATGTGCAGAAGGGCTTAGATATATCCAAAGTAAGCCACATGCAACATGTTACTTGATCAATTTTCTAAAATAAGGTTTCAGGACAATGACAGTAAGATAAGGGAGAAAACATGGAGGAATGAAGTCCTAATTACTATACACGCATATTTTTTTCACAGTAGGGAGAAACTTTTTACAGATAAGTTACAAAGAAAAGGCAAATAAACAATTTTGTACAATAAATTTAACACATTTGGTACAATGTCTTCACTTTGCTGTCATCATTTGTACAAACTCTTCATAGTTTACCTGACCATCACCATCGATATCTGCTTTCCTGATCATTTCATCAACCTCTTCATCTGTTAACTTCTCTCCAAGGTTTGTCATCACATGGCGAAGCTCTGCTGCACTAATATAGCCATTGCCATCCTTATCAAACACATGGAATGCTTCTCTAATTTCTTCTTCACTCTCTGTATCTTTCATTTTTCTTGCCATCATTGTCAGAAATTCAGGGAAGTCAATTGTGCCATTACCATCAGCATCTACTTCATTAATCATGTCCTGTAACTCTACTTCTGTGGGATTTTGCTCAAGACACCTCATTACAGTTCCCAATTCCTTTGTTGTTATAGTTCTATCACCATCCTTGTCAAATAGTGAAAAAACTTCTTTGAATTCTGCCATCTACTCTTCAGTCAGTTGGTCAGCCATGCTGCAAGAGCTACTTCCGAGATGCAAACACACAACCGCTCGGCTTGCTCACTCTGCTTGGACCGGCTCATTTTTTTTTTAGAGAGAAGTCTCTCTGTGTTGCCCAGGCTTATCTCAAACTCCTGACTTCAAGCTACTTCCTGCCTTGGCATCCCAAAACTTTGGGTGGAATTGCAGGCTTGAGCCACTGTGCCTGACTGATTTCAGTTGTTTTAAATTTATTAAGATTTGTTTTGTGCATTGGGATATTATATGGCCTCTCATGTGAACTTGAATATATATTCTATTTTTGTTGAGTGGAGTGTTCTGTACATGTTAGTTCCAGTTGTTTGATGGTTGTATTCTGATTCAATTCTCTGACATCATCTGGGTGTCCTATAATTCAGTTCACTTCTGACACTAACTGCTTAGAGTTAGTGCACACTTCACGGGTTACAGGGCTCAGTCTCACAAGGCTGCTCCCATTTCAGCCACAAGTCCTGGGTGTCTCCAAGCCACCACCCAAATTTTCCCTGGTTGGGTCCAAATAGGGGGCTTCCCACAATACTCTTAGATTCAATAATTTGCTAGATGACTCACAGAACTCATGAAAATGATATACTTAACAATTACCCTTTTATTATAAAGGATATGAATGAACAGCTAGATGAAGAGGAATATAAGGCAGGTCTGTAAAAATATCAAACACAGAAGCTTCTATCCTTTTGGTACTTCAGGATATTCACCAACGAGGAAGTTCTCTGAGCCTTGTTCAGAGTTTTTAATATCAACAGTTCATTGCATAGGCATAGTTGATTAAATCATTGACCACACAATTGAACTTAAATCTCTAGCCTCTCTCTTTCTGGAGGTCAGGAGGTGGATATAAAAGTTCTACCCCTATAATTATCTGCTTTCAAGTGACAGCCCCATCCTGAAGCATGGAGCCACATCATCAACATAACAAAGGCAACGTATCACTTAGGAAACTCTAAGCTCTGCCAGGAACTGGAGATAAATACCAATTCTCTGACACCAAATGTAGGATAGGAAAACAGAAACTCTTTTTTTTTTTGTTTTTTTTTTTTTGGAATCGTAGTCTCACTCTCACCCAGGCTGGAGTGCTGTGGCACGCTCATGGCCACCGCAGCTTTGACCTGCTGGGCTTAGGCGATCCTTCTGCCTCAGCCTTCCAAGTAGTTGGAACTACAGGCGTGGGCTACCACGCCTGGCTATTTTTTTATTTATTGTAGAGAGTAGGTCTCGCCATGTTGCCCAGGCTAGTCTCGAACCCCTGGGCTCAGGCAATCCTCTCACCTCAGCTTCCCAAATTGTTGGGATTACAGACATGAGCCTCCGTGCCTGACCAGAAACTGTTTCTTCTTACTTCTCTACTCAATACTTCTAGAAAATGACAGAGAATTGGGATTTGCTAGAATGGCTCACAGAATTCAGGGAAACACTTATGCTTACTGGCTCATTATATAATAAAGGATATGATAAAGGATGCAGATAAACAGCAAGATCTATAAGGTTCCTCAGAGCAGTAGTTCCTGTTCCCATAGAGTTGGGGTATGCTACTCTCCCAGTACATGGATATGTTTACCAGTCTTCAAATCTTGTCTATTTGGATTTTTATAGAGGCTTCATTAAGGCGTGATTGATTAAATCATTGGCCTTTGATGATCACCTCAACTTTTAGCACTTCTCCCCTCCCCAGAGCCTGTGGAGTGGAGCTGAAAGGTTCAGCCCTCTATTTACTGGGCTGGTTCCCCTGGCAACCAGCCTTCCATCCTTAGGGGCTTTCCAAAAGTCACCTCATCAACCAAAACCCAGATGTGGGTGAAAGGGTCTTGTTATGAATAATAAATTCTACTCCCTATTACCTTTATCTATCTGCAGCTATTTCAGGAACTGAGGATAAAACCAAATATATAACAAAAGATGATTCCATAACTGTCATCACTTGAGAATTTACAAGGGTTTTAGGAGCTCTGAACAGGAACCAGGGATGAGGACTAAATATGTGTATTTCTTATTGTAAACCATAGTATTACAATCAAATATATTTTTGAATTATACCACAGTGGTGCTGTTTAGTCTAATATATTTTTGCTGATTTTCTGTCTACTTATTTCTTTGAGACAGGAATGAAGTCTCCAGTTTTAACTATGGATTTGTCTATTTCTCCTTTCAGTTCATTAATTTTTATTTCATGTATTCTGATGATCTTTTTTGGATGCATATGTTATGGGCTGAGTAACGCTCGGCTGCTCCCCTTGATACCAGTAAATCAAAGGGGCAGAGAACTGGTAGAAGTTTATTTCTGAGTTCGAATCCAGGGAGCAGAGCCAGACTCAAGGTCTTTCAAAATGGTTCTGCTAACCCTCTAGGCTTTTACGGTTCACTTTTATAGTCTAGAGTTGTTAGTACCTACACATTAGCCACGTGACCAGCAGAGTGTTGGATAGAACTTGAGTTTCAGCCACATTTATTGATAGTGACATTTTTCTGTCCAGACTTCCTGGTGCCAGGTATCAGAAGTATCTCATAGCTTTTATCAGTAGGGCCTGGCAGAAGCAGCAATGAAGCTTGCCATAGAGTAAAGGGCCTAAGACATCATGCATTATGCAAAAGTTATACAAATCACAAAGCTTACGATTACATTTATACAAAAGTTACATAATTCACAAGGCTTAAGGTTACATTGATACTATATTGTTCAAACTTATAACCACTCAGAAAAAGGGAGTAAAAGGAGATTTGCATCTTTTAGTTGATGGGGTGTAGACTACAGGGAAGCCAAGGATCCCCTGAAGCTACTTACTGGGAGTGCATAGGAGATAAGGAGAAGCACATCTTTTATTAGCTCTCAGGAATATTATTCAGGAATGTACAGGAGCACTTGTGCCCTGGCCATGCCCTTCTCTAGGGGCTGTGACAATATGGACAGACATTAGAGGGTCTCTGTATCACATACACATTTAGAATGTCTTTGTAAATTGGATCTTTCATGATTATATATTGTCTATCTCTGGTGATTTTCTTTGCTCAGAAGTCTACATTGCTATGGATACTCCAGCTTTCTTTTGGTTGGAGTTTGCATGGTATTGCTTTTCCCAACCCTTTGCTTTTAACTTACATATATCATTATTTTTGAAGTGAACTTCTTATAGAATCATATTCATTTTGCTAATTTTCTGTCTTTTCAGTGATGTGTTTAGGCCATCTATATTTAATGTAATTACTGATAAATTTGGATTTAGGTAAACTATTTTATTATTTGTTTTATGTTTTTCTTCTGTTTTTGTTCTTCTGTTTCTCTTTTCTACCTATTTTTGGATTATCTTAACATTTTGGTATTCCATTTTATTTTTTGCTTTTTATTATATCTCTGTAAAGTTTTTAAAGTGGTTATTCTAGGGTTTACAATATGTCTACCTAACTTTTTAGTTTACTTAGAATTATTATATTAAATATTGCATAGTTAACATATTTTAAATAGTAAATATAATATATAATGAAAGACGGTGACGCACAGTGAAACTCAACACCCATTAAGGCCAAGAGATTTAATGGGCCAAACGCGGTGGCTATGGGACCTGAGGGTCAGGTTGTAGCACTGAGGCAAGGGCGCGGCGGCTTTTATAGGGGCTTAGGGCTACCTGTCTGTTGCCTATAGGTTGGCTGGCAGAGCTTCATGTAGGTTGGTGGATTTTTCACGGGCGCGGGAAAGGGTGCGGAGGGAGAACAAAGGAAGGCACCGTTTCAATCTCCGTTTTAGTTTGCCGGGTTGCCGTTTCCAGGAAAGGGAGGGAATGTGGCTTTACTTGTGGCTTGGCGGTGGCCCTTCATTCCCACCTCTTTGGTTATATGGGAGAGGGGCAGCATTTGTCTGTCCAGTTACTTCCTGCTGAAAATGGGCGTCGGTGGGTGAGGTGGGTGAAAGGACAAGCCACATGAGACCCCACAAGTAGGCACCAAAAGAAAAAATTTCATTGGGGTGGAAGTCCTGGAAGGTGCCTTGTAAGTGGAAAACTGCAAGCTGGTCCGGCCAGTCGTCGAGTGGACACGGGAAAGGGAGGAACCAGCTGTCATGAAGAAGGTGGTCAAGAAACGCTGAGAATCTGAGTGGTAGGTGGTGGGGGGTAAACTTTGAGGCGAGCATGTCTGAAATGAGAAGACAAGGTTAGAGGTTTGTAGGGTTGGAACAGTCGAGACCTGGATCTTCAGTGGGCAGGAGGTCATATAATTCTGTAGGAGAAGCTGGTTAATGCTTTGATTAGAGATTTTTAAAAGTTGTGACTGGAGAAACTTGATGATACATGGGAGAAAGGAGCACAGACCGAAAATGAGAATGACAGGTATGACGATAGGCAAAAGCCAGGTGAGTAGGGAGTTTTGTAATAGGCTGCCGATTTGTGAAGGCTTTGCCCCTTGGAGT